TAGTGATGCAGTGAGGAAGGCTCTGATGTTAAATTCTGTGTTGTGCATCGTTTATCAAACCAAATATGGATAGAGTGATGCATCAAGTGACATCACATGTGAAGACCCCAGTGTTATATATTGAATGATGCAATGAGTGACGTCACATGTAAAAATACTTATGTTGAACATCAATTAGCAGTACCAAATATGGATAGAGAGTGATGCATCGAGTGACATCACATGTAAAGGCCATAGTGTTATATATATATATAGTGATGCAATGAGTGACATCACATGTAAAAATACTTATGTTGTGCATCGTTAAGTATCATACGTCACATGTGAATGTTCCCGTGTTAATTTCTGTGTTGTGCATCGTTTGTTTTACCAACACCAAATATGCAGTGAGGGATGCTCCGATGTTAAATTCTGTGTTGTGCATCGTTTATCAATACCAAATATGGATAGAGAGTGATGCATCAAGTGACATCACATGTGAAGGTCCCATTGTTAAAATACTTGTGTTATGCATCGTTGTGTACCAAATATGGCTAGAGAGTGCCGTCATATCTTCAGGTGTGGATGTTAAATTCTGTGTTGTGCATCATTTTTGAGTGGCTACGGTTTGTCATGTGACTTTGAAACGATTTTCAAAGTGAGGCAAGCTTTAGCATTATTGTGATAAATTTTGCTACCCACATGCGCGTCACTGGTATGCAGAGAAAGTTGAATTCTGGGTACTTCAAAATTTGAAGGGAGGAACTGGCATCTTTTTGTGACAAGCAGGCAAGGAATGTATAATTCTGGCAACGCTTGCCTATTACATTGTGATTATCTAAAGAATCAACGCAGGTGTGATATTTGAAAACGGAATGTTTGAGTCGAAGAAATCCAAAATTCTGTGTCATCTGAAAGAACTGGGTTTTAGATAAATAATGAAGACAGGTAACCCTTTGCAGTGTGTATTGAGGGAAATTTTGCCAGGACAGCAGCATTAGCCTGCTCTTTTTCAATTTCCAACTGTCGAGGGCAAAAGAAAAAAGCAACCATATTTGACAAGGATAACAACTTAGGTTCACAAGGATCCTTTCTACCAACTGGTCCATGACCAAACCTCTTGG